TACAATTAATACTCCTAAAAATACTTATCAACTTTAATAATATAGATGATCTACCAACTAATTTAAATATAATTAGGACTCTACCAACTAATTTAAATACAACTAGGACTCCTAAAAATATACAACAATCTTAGTAATATCAACTATCAAACTACTTTCCTTGTTCATCTCTCACAAAAAAATAACTCTTTCAATCCTCTCTAAAAACCCTAGATATCGCTCTTAGGAGCCCAAAATGTCTTGCTCCTCCCTCTCACCAAAACTATTGGAACATATCCTCCTAATTCACTAAGGAGTCTTAATTTAATAAGAACTCTATCAGCTAGTTTAAAGATAATTAGAACTCATAAAAAATGCTTATCAATTTTAATAATATCAATCATCAAATATGACCAAAATTTTGCTACATGTGTCACATGAATATTCCCTTATTAATATGATGGACGATGCTTCGTTAAGCAGCCTTCTTAGGTATGTTTGGATTCAAACTAATACTTCAAAAGCATTTGACGCCTACAAACAAATGTATACTAACTTGATATGATTTTTTGTTGGAAGAATTTTCGACGTAATCTTTCATTAGAAATAAGACTTGAAATATATATATCTTTTTGCCCTCCAATCGAAGTGACAAAGGGACACGAATATTTGGAAAAATAAATCGATCAGATCAATTTTACTGAGACAACAAATCGACAATGAAATCTCACAAGATCACATTCCGTGCCAATCCATTCCCTCTTCTACGCACAAGAAAAGCAAGCAATATTTCCCGGTGAAACAAAGATATGCCGTGAGACACACATCACAAGGTGATGGACGAAGTACTGCACCAGCTGTCATGTAATATTCCTTCACCACGTACATGAACCTCGACGTTCTTCTGATCTCACCTCACCTTCTGCTGCCCCTACATAAACTCGCGCCATCTCGACGTCCCTATCATCTTCATCCGACAAGGCAAGACATGGAGGAAAACGTCTCTTCGGGGGGGCCATCATGGGCGGACCAGTGGGACACCAGCGATCACGCCGACCTTGCCAAGGGGAAGGAGGGGAGCGAGAAGAAGAACAAGAAGAGCGGTGGAGGGTTGAAGAAAGGACTGGAGAAGACGAAGGTCGTGGCTTCGTCGGGCTTGAAGAAGGTGAAGGAGGGATCGAGCACAGGGTTTCAATGGATCAAAGGTAAGTTGCAGAAGGGGACGGACAAGCAGTGAGACCAACGAAGAAGAAGAATAAGCATATGCATGGCGTAAGGTAGATTGGTGTTCTCTAGCTGTGTGTGTGTTTGTGTTGTAGTAGTACTCATTCTATAGCTTTGCCATTCGTGTTTGATTGATTGATCGATCGCAATAGTTTCATTAATACTCATCTTCTTGTTCTTGTTTGGGTTTGATGTTCAATCATTCTGAATGTCACATCTAATCAAATATGATCCAAAAAAATTTACATTATATATATATATATATATATATATATATATATATATATATATATATATATATGATTGTTTATATTATACTCGAGAAACACAAAATAACAAAGTGATTAGTCATTTGAAGAGGTGCCAAAGAACAAAAGGAAAATTAAAACCAATCTATTGTTCGTTAAAATTTCCCACTCCACATTTTTATTTTTGGAAAAGGACGATTAACATCTTTTTTAAAGATCACTTAACCAAGTGAAAAAAAAATGCATGATATTCATGGAACGTATATATGGCACATTAACATTAGTGTATATAGAAATTATTTTTAGAGATACATTTCCTGTATCCTGATCTCATCACTTTTCAAATTTACTTTTTTATCATTATACTAAAATAGCACCATCGATGTCGACCTAAAAAATATGTAGGATTATGCTAACTCATCGATCATTAACATAAAATTATATCAAATCTTTTGAATATGCGAGAGTTAAAAGATTATATATATATATATATATATATATATATATATATATATATATATATATATATATATATATATATATATACTGTTAAATCTCGGATTTTGATGATGAAACAAATTGATAGTGTTTGTAATCTAATCTACGTTTTGAGTGACGTATGACTAGATTCAATCAGGGAGAGACAATTAAAGCAAGAAGAATCATGTTAGACCGGAGTGGAATATGTCAAAAGATTGGACGTCGAGCCGAAAGATCGGTCGACACATTGATAGAAGGCCTCGGACCAAGAAGAGCGAAAATTACGTTAAGAAAATCAGAATTGTAGAGATCAACTAGTTGATTGGGCAATAAGCCGCAAGAGAAGATGATGCGTCAAAAAATCGGACAAAGCGTCGATGAACCAAATTGAAAAGGCACTCATGAAATTGGTTAACTTTATAAAGATATCTACAAATTGGTTAAATTTACATATTTTAAAAGGACGGATAAAATTGATAGGTTTCAGTTTATGCTAAATTTTGTCACTAATATATCCATTTCATGCATTGCAAGACTTCCCACAATTAGTTTTAGAAATTCTTTTGTACCAACACCATCACAGATGTTTAGAGAAGTTAGTGTTTCATGACATACACATATTGATCACTAAAAAATATTTTTAATACCTTTTTCCAAAATAAAAATATATAAAAATTATACATAGTGTATTAATATTTTGATATATCTTTAATGAAGCAAATAAAAGTTCCACTTAAAAAAATAGAGGTCGCAATAAAATCAAGAAAGGATTGCAAAATTTTTATTTTTAATAGTTCTATTCAACGTGTCGAAGCATATAAAATAGAGTTTATAGAAGGAAAAATTCAAAATTCTTGGCAAAAAAAGAAATAAACCTTTTTTCTTTCTTGGACTAATTTAGCAAATTTTATTTACTTCTTATCGGTCATATCTCTCTCTCTCTCTCTCTCTCACACACACACACACATAAACAGACAAGTCTTCACCGATTAGGGGAGGAGGAAATCAAGATGGAAGGGATGATGAGGCCTCGAGTCAAAGAAATCATGGCCGCATGGGATTCCCATAAGCTCCTCCTACAATGCCCTCGCATGGCAACTTGAACCTTGACATGTCTTCAAAGAACTTTATCCTCCATTATCTCTCTGATAAAGATCGACGTCAATCTCGTAATGCCACATGTCTACATCCACAACGTTACCTCAATCAAGGAAGCAAGATGATCTATCACCGTAATCCACCAACTAAGTTCATGTCATATTATAAATTATCCTCATGAAAACTCATCTTTCGTACTTAAAATATTATAATTTTTTATTATTTCCTATCGAGCATCAGGTCTCATCCTTTTTTTATTGGTTGGTGGCACTACCTTGTCGAGAGTCTATCTCACTATCCTTTAACGAAATTTTTAACTATCATGAAAGATACATGGAATCTTTTTTTTTTTAACTGTTGTTGGAAAAATTTATCATTAATATCTAAACTCGTTTATGTATGAAAACCAAGATCCGGAGGGTTCTCTCGAGCTGATCCATTCGACATTCGAAGTTAGTAGCCTTGTTTTTCTCTTTCATTTTGAGAGTTTTGTATGTGTTTTTATTCTAACATTCAAAGAAAGAATAATATCTCACGGGAGGGGAGGGTTTGTAACCGATTCAAATTATCCCTTAATATTTTGAAAATATATTAATAATCGATCTAAATTGTCCCTTGATTTTATGAAATATTCTTATGAACATTCTACAAGCGAGTTTATTCGTAATTAATTTGAACTTTCTTTTCGTCATTCCTAAGAGGTGTCTTAGCAACTCGACAGCTTGATAGTTCAACGATTAATACGTGTTGTTTTTGAACCCCGACCCTTATGGATAAAAAAATATCGATCTTGACATGACGAATAATCACTGGCTCATCCTATATTCTCAATCAACCATATTATGATATACTTTAAGTTTTTCTACTATTTCTCTTATCGATTTACTGAATATTTTTATCTGTCTTGATTATGTTAGGAGGATCTTAAAACAAACCTCTAACACCTTTTTCTTACAAAATTCTCTCTCAAAAAAAGGAACAGTCCTACGATCAATGACCCAAATGAATCAAAAGAGATGAACCCAATCAGTTCAGCTCGAACTGGTACTAATAAATGACCCAAATTCGATAGATACTCTGGAAAGAGAAACATTAGAAATAAATTACATGCATTAATTCTCATAAGATCTTAATAACAAAATCTTGGTCAACTGAAATGTGTCCCACCGCATGACTCACATTACCCATTACCCATTACCCGTGAGGTGTGTGGCTCCACTGCCACTTCCATCCCCATCAACTTCACGACGTAACCCCTCGCAACACACTGCTACACCATCGGGCAGCTGTCGGCAGGCAGACATCAGCGGATTCTGCTACTACCTTCTCTCTCTCTCTGTGCTACACGATGATGCATCGACGAGAAAGCAGGGGAAGTAAACTAAGCAGCGAGTGCGATCGAGATGTTTCCTCCCACCTTCCCATGCACATCTCCCACTGCCACACGCGTGCACTCATTATTTTATCGACCCAACTTAGTTAAGCAAAGCGAAGGTTTAATGATGCGCACTGGGCGCTGTCTCCCTCGCCTCATGGCGATGCACAGTCTTCTTCTTCTTCTTCTTCTTCCTCTGTGATGCCTACATACATAACACCCCACAAGGTGTCTTCTTCTTGCAAGCTTCCACCACACACTCTGCCTCCTTACATAATCCTCAGGCTGCACCTCATAGAGTAGAAGCAATCTTTTCTCTGCTGCTCCCTTAGCATGGTGGCGTCTGCATTAAACTAGACTGGGAGCTGGTGGATCTGTTGATGTTACTTCTCCATATCCTAAGCTTCTTTGGCCCACAGCCTCCAATTCTCCAAACATTGCGTGTTTGGATGCTCCCCACCTTTCTCTTGCACTATATATATATATATATATATATATATATATTATAATAATAATAATAATAAAAGGAGGAGAAGTAAACGCATAAATGTGGGAGTGATGAAGGGGGATATTAATATATGAATGATGGCATCGTGCTGGGTAGGATTCCTCTTTATCGTCTCCGCGGCGGCTGCATCGCAGACCGAGAGAGACCGCCTCCTGTCTTCCAACAAATCTCGGGTGGCGGAGATTTGTTTTGTTCTCTTCCTTTCCTTCTCAATTTCCTGCCATCTTCCCAAGGCCCGTTTGTCGCTGTCCCGTTGCTGCTTGGAAGAAGGGATAGGAGAGGAGAGAAGAGGGGGACTGGTGTTGGCGGTGGCATTTGGGCTTTGTCATGTCGTGGGGGGTTGGGGGACATGCACCTGCTGCGGTTCCATTCTTCTTGTGATAGAAATCCATGGGATGCATCTGATATGGGGTGTGGGAGCCTTGGGAAGACAGCCAGCTGAGGTGCAGGGCATGGCCTCTGCTCTTGCACTTGTTTTGCCTCGATCCACTCGGAATTAGCAGCTACAGTGCGAGGAAGAGAAGAAAGGCAGCCCCTTTCTGCTCTGGGGTTCTATTTCTCTTGCACTCTTCATGATTCGCTGTAGGAGGCGAGATACATGCTAGATCCTGTTAATTTCGCGCAGACATGGAATCTTGCGATGGATTCTTTGCCCTCGACGAGTTCCGCCTGGATCCGAAGTGGCTCATCGATCCCAAGTTGCTCTTCGTCGGGCCGAAGATTGGGGAGGGCGCTCACGCTAAAGTCTACGAGGGCAAGTGAGTCGCTTGGCCGGGATCGATGATTCTTGGAGACACTGTTGACTTGCTCGCTTATGCTTTGCATCTTGCATTTGGTTATGGTGTGTAGGTACAAGAATCAGAATGTTGCTGTCAAGGTCATGCACAAGGGGGACACCCCCGAGGAGGTGGCGAAGAAGGAGGCCAGATTCATGAGGGAGGTGGCGATGCTCGCCCGTGTTCAGCATAAGAACCTCGTCAAGGTTCGACTCCACTGGTGGCGCCCTAGTCCTAGCATTTTTCTTCGTTTCCGTTGATCGTTAGCGCGATGGTGTTGCCGATTTCAGTTTATTGGAGCTTGCAAGGAGCCTGTGATGGTGGTGGTCACCGATCTCCTGCCGGGGGGGTCGCTCCGCAAATACTTGGTAAACTTGAGGCCACGGAGCTTGGAGCCTCGAGTTGCTGTTGGCTTTGCACTGGATATAGCGCGGGCTATGGAATGCTTGCATTCTCATGGGATCATTCATCGTGATCTGAAGCCTGGTAATTTTCTTGGAATGATCTCTTTAATATCTAGAATTCTCACAATTACAAGTCATATACCTTCAACCTTACTGATATGCATGTTATATGTCCTCTGATTTGTTTATAGAATGTCATCTCTATATCACAACTCCCAGTCGTAGTTGTTTCAGAGCATTACCTAGAATGGTCTATGATAATTTACATTCAGTACACATTTATCTAATTACTGGAGAGACAAACTTTATTCCCAAAAATTCATGTATTACTGCATCCTGATTGGGAAGATGTGTTTCAAAGTTCTTCCTTCGAGCTTATAAACTACTCAATATCTCACTGAGAAGTACTACAGCGGAACTATTATTCTTAAGAATTGAAGTATTGCATAGTTACCTTCAATCTTTACTATCTTTAAATTGAGATATCAAAACATGTGCATTTTTATACTTCTTTTGCTGATTCCACCATGTCAACATCTATGTGCATGTCAGAAGTTCTTTTACTTGGTAAATAATTATATCTTTGCTATTAGTAGACACTATGATATGATATTGGATTATCATAAATTGATGATGGAATATTTGTTTTTTTCTTTTAAATGGGTAAGGGGCAAGGATTTAAAAACAGGTTATAACTAATACCTGTCCATTGTCGGACGAGCAAAGTATGTTGGTGTGGGATGGTATAACCAAGTTAAGCTGCTGGAAAAATAATATAAAAAAAGTTTCATGTTCCCTTGCTAATCCGACAGGGTAAATAATGCTATGTACTGGTATGGGGTCGAACCAGTAAATATTGTTCGGCATAGTTTGGTGTTTGAATCCATGGATATGGGTATTATTAGATCCTAAAAATTGACATTGGGTGCATATGCTGAATCCTTGGGTTACTTTGTGATCTTTCTTGATGCATAGATCAAATTCCTTCTTGTCACTCAACTCCTCTGCAGCATTTAAACTAAATCCATGTTCCCTTTACATTTGATATACTATGAATCATAGACATGATTGACATATATGTTATTTATTTCATTATTTTTGAATGATAGTCTAGAGCTCTCTCTAGAGAACTCCATGTTTTTGAAATCAAAGTGTAACTCAAAAAAGAGTTGAAATGTTGGATTAGATGGCGAAACTTTATGATTTGAGCAAAATAATACATGGAGATAACATTATTAATATATATCTGATTCCACTGTCAAACGTAAAAGGCATCCATGGCCTTCAAGGTGTACCACATGATGTACCTTATACCAGCTTATTTTGGTCGGCCTTATAACGAGTTGATTTCAACTAAAATTTCCTAGTCCATGAACCGAGCACATCGTACCATACCATTTTGACCGAAATTTCATTCCTTGATTGGTGTCAAGGTGAACCTAGTATTGAACATGCATTGGTGAATGAGTACAAGTAGGAAAGAGATATTCGTGGATAGGATAAGAGACATAAGCCACCACTAGGTTAGGTTGTGGACCTCACATACCAAGTACCAAAGAAATGATTCTGGGTTATATGGTAGAACTTAGAACTTCACAAGGACATTAAGCCTTTGAAAAGGAAAAATTGATACCTTGATTAGGCTCACATCGAAAGTATGAAGATAATTGTGATGGTTCACAAGGATTGGCTTTATTATTTTGGACCACATTGTTCCAGACCTTCCAAGTTAGAGTTAGTAATAGTTGCATAATAGGAACTTGCATTTGTTGAACTTCTATTGGACCAGTCATTTGAATTGCTGTCGGTCTCCTAATAAAAAATATTACATATATAATTTTTTCCTTGAGGAAAATGTATGCAGTGTTAATAAGATCATGAACTGTGAAGATCTTCATATGGTTCACTGTATTTTTCTCAGAAAATTGATTTCTCAAACTGAATATCATAATTGATGTATAACATTATTTTTGTTTTCTTCCATTTTTTTCAATTTAATAATAGATATTCAACGGATGAAAATGCCAACGTTTACATAGTTAAGAAAATTCAGATGTGAAATAACTTATTACTTTTCAATCTAGAAGATGGTATTGTCTTGACCTTTTCCAGTCTTTGGAAAGAAAATGGTTCTAAGGTAAAAATGCTCAAACATCAAGATAGTATGTTTGATCATGGTAGGTACATTTGGGAAGGTGACCATGATATTCTCATTATTGGTGGATAAAAAGACTAATTATCTCCATTGACCTACTGTAAATAATATTGATGCTAGGTATATGTGTGTTTGGTCTTATCAATTTTGGTGGCTAATAGTTGCAGGGAAAAATTCTGAAGAGATTAATTCAAAATGATCCAGAAGTAAGATATAAAATAAATCATTGTTTGGAAGTTTTCCATCGATGGCAAGTTTGTTGAATTTTGATACTAATCCAAGTTTCATCCAAGGAAAATGAGCAAATCCTAGATACACAGTTGAATGATCACTGCGGCAAGAGCACATTGCATCAGAGATCACATGCATGCCGTGTGCAGGATTAAGACTAAGATATTTGTTTCAAAGTGTGCTCTGCAAGAGAATGAGTTGTGGTTCACACTTCACACTCCTCTTATGTTGTCTTCTAGAATCTTGAGGAAGTTTTGGTACTCCTTTGCTCTTCTTAATTAGATAGTTTCATCAGTCACTAATCTGTCAGGATCTTGAAATTAAGGATTATTAAAATAGAATAGCAGTGCGATTAGCTACTATAACAGTATGTGCCATATAGGAGACCAGATTAGCTCATGTTATTTCTTCTGTGAAAAAGGTTAGTTGTTCGGTTGAATGGCATTCTTTTTTATTGAATCAAGATGTGATTGTCAAGGTGAACATATATTTAGCTTGTTAAGTACAATTTCCTGCAGTAGGATTATGTATTTCATTTCTGCATGTATATTCTAATACATGTAATATTGAAATTCTTTTTCTTTTGATTTTCTTTGAAGGATTTTGTAAGGATGAAGTTTATTGTCATTTCTTCTTTATTTTGGAACCCTAATTACTCTTTTCTTTTGGAGTTTTTATGTTTCGTTTTATGTTTATGTTCAGTATGTTTTCAGTTTTCTAATGATTATCTAGAGGTTCTTTATCAAATCTTCTAGGTAAAACTTATCTTACTCCTTTTTCAGAGGATGGATGATACATAATTTTCTATATCATACTTGGCTGTTGATTTTATTTTATTTTTTGCAATGCACATGGAGATTTATATTTTGGGAGCATGAGCTGATGATGCTGGACCATTGAATTCCCACATCATACTCTTCTGTTGATTCCTTGTTTTGCAATACAAATGGAGTTTTACATTTTGGGAACATGAACTGATGATACAGGGGCATGACAAAAATGGAATGCACTTGATAACTTTATAGAATAGTTTAATGAAGATATCTGAAGACTTCTGTTAAGAAATGCTTCTCTCTTTTGTTAACAGATGAAAAGAAAACAAAAGAGAGGGTATTAGATGAATTTTGGGATTGATCTCTACTCTGTCAAAGTCAAAACATAGACTGGGCAAGGTTATTAATAACTTCTTGTTCACATATTTTGACACGAGTTATATTGAACATTTTTGGTTCCTGCTTATACGAGTGACATTGAAGACAAAATCAAGCACATAGATCGTCATATATGCTTATTATAGTTCCTGCCTATATAAGTGAATGTTAACATCCTAGATAACAGAACCAAACTTGTTTGGCAAGATCTTTTTTATGCCTATTACTTGTACATTGAGTCAAGCACTTAAACTGATCTAGAAAAATGGTCTGCAATAAGGGTGTTTATTAGATATTATATGATGGATTATGAAATAGTAGTCTTGAAGCTATGATTCTCCACAGGGTTGTAATTTCCCTGGGTAGCTTTTGTGAGATGCAGGTCCTTTACCATAGGAATATAATGCCAAGCCCCTCAAATATGGATTTCGGGAAGTTAATTTTAGTCCTTTCTTGTAACGTCATTAGAAGAGTTGCAGTAATTGGATTTCTTATGAAAGGCATTTCTATTGTCTTTGTACTTGATTCTATGAAATCTTACCTTCTGCAAAGGCATGCGCCAAAAGTTGTCTTGTATGTGGCTTTTGGATTCACTCAACTTCTATATACTCATGCAGCCTGTTTCTTTAAGCCGAGGAATGAGTTTGTGTGCATGAAATTTCACTTTATAATTATCGGATCCTTGTTTCTTTCCCAGAGAACTTGCTATTGACTGCAGATCAGAGGACAGTGAAACTTGTTGACCTTGGTTTGGCTAGGGAAGAAACATTAACAGAGATGATGACTGCTGAAACAGGGACATACCGTTGGATGGCTCCAGAGGTGCTTCTAAGTGCATGTTTACATCAGTAGTCTTCTGTTTAACATTCTCGATGATCATTTAAGTCCAAAACATCTTCTTCTTTACAGTTATACAGCACTGTCACATTAAGGCATGGGGAAAAGAAACATTACAATCACAAGGTGGATGTATACAGCTTTGCGATCGTGTTGTGGGAGCTGCTTCATAATCGTCTTCCGTTTGAAGGCATGTCTAACCTTCAAGCAGCCTATGCAGCTGCTTTCAAGGTAGTCAGTCCACTGTGCTATCGTATGCTTTAACTCATGTGATTTTTCAAATATTCCTAAAAAAATATACTTTTCTCTATTTCAGAACACCAGGCCAAGTGCGGATAACCTTCCTGAGGAACTAGCTCTGATCTTAACTTCTTGTTGGAAAGAGGACCCAAATTCACGCCCCAACTTCACCCAGATAATACAGATGCTCCTAGATTATCTTACCATGCTTTTGCCGCCTGAACGTGTGGTTCGTTCCCGTGCCTTCAGCTCAGAGAATGTGGTTTTACCACCTGAATCACCTGGGACAAGTTCACTAATGGCAGCCCGAGATGAACTGGGTGATACCACAAAGCCTGACAAGTTCACTGATAACAAGCGATATTTCTGCTTCGGCCAGTGCTTCTGATCAACCTCTAAAGAGAGCACTAAACCCTACAAACTGTTTGGTGGTTTCTCAGATGGTTACTCTTGCAACCCTGCTGTTTCCCTGTTCCTGCATGCTGCGTGCTGGGAAGAAACAAGATATGCCCTTCGCCTTGCTTACAAGATCAAAATAACCTGTTTCCCTCTCATATATGGTGTAAATTGCTTGTCAAAATGCCCGTGGAACGGGTGGGAAAGAAAGGCTTCTCTTCAAGTTGAACACAACTATTGAGTTACATACTATGATCTGATCCGATCTTTTAGGTGCTTTAGAAATCACATTATTTATCTGATCCTCGATACCATCTACCATCAATATATTTGGTTGGTGATTCCAGTGACTTTATTACCTGATTTCGCATAAATTCTCCATAATTGTATTTGATGTGGTATTCTCGAAGAATGCTTGGCTCCAAAAGTCTATTTGGTGTTGCTTTCTTGCCAGGATCTATCAAGATTATAAATCACATCAACAGGAAGTAATTCTATCATACAGCCTCTGTATGTTTCATGGCTCAACACATGTAACTCTGCAACAACAGATTTCACTCAGTGTGTTGAAGTATATATTATACCTTTAGAGATTTGTGGTAACCCCTTGTTTAGGTTATTTATTTTCCATTTGGATTTTGTCCACATACCGAGCCCTAAACAAGTTTAGGAATAAGAGGAATAATCACTTCACTTTTGAGATTTGTAGTTACCTAATTAAATCTTTAAGCAGCTGGCAACACTAATAACCAAAACAAAGCATAGGAGGGAGAATCCAATTAGTGTATATGTTTCTATGCATAAGAGGTTCCATGCTATATTGAATATTGAGAACCTTATCTGATAAATCTGTGAAGATATCAATCAGTCAATATTGATGGTAAGATCTTTTATTAGATCTTCATCATTTATCATTTTATAAATAAATATTTTTTTAAAAAAATAAGTCTTATATTATACTGTCAAAATCTTTATCAGAAACATACAATGTGAGATCATAGTGGCAGAGAATTGAGATTAAACTGTACAATACTAAAGAAGCAAATTAATCCTCCAACTTCTCATTCTCTAGCCCAGAAGAGTAATGGTAGGAATCAAAAGCTTAGGTTATATTGGGCAAAAACATAACGAAGGAAAAGAAACAGTACCTGAAAAGTTTCTCTCTCTCACTCTTAGGAGTTTACATCTCTCTCTCTCTCACTCACTCACTCTCTCATATGTGTGTATATATATATATATATACAAGGACTCATAACTTTGGTATATTAGGAATATGATCTTACATCGAGGCTGTAGTAGAAACTATAGTGTGTGTTTGTACAGTTCTATTCATCAAAAGAAAATTTGTTCTCTTTCTCATGTGGCACAGCAAATGCTTGCAGGGTGGCTACTGCCCCTAGAAGCCAATCCTAGAAGGCAAGCTAGCAGAGACAAATCCATGTGAAATAATCCTTGGTTTCCAAACCCTAGCAGCTCGCAGCTGGAACAAGAGGAGCCAAATTAACTGCACCCACCGGGGCAAAACCACAGAAGAGCACACACATGCAGCAGCAATGCCAGGTCTGTTCATGGGAATGACACTCACAACTGGCTGCCATCTCTTCTTCTTCTGCCACATTATTCCTAGTTAAAATTGCCAGTGAAAAGAACTCGAGACCGCCAGGGAACAATTTCTGATCCACGCCAGTGTAATCATTCTGTATCATAGTCATGCAGGCCGCTTCCCCACCTTAGCCACACCCCCTCCTCTCTCTCTCTCTCTCTTCTTTGATGGGAAGCATGAGCCTATTGGGTAATAGTATCGTTCTATTCATCAAAGGAAAATTTGTTCTTCTTCTCATGTGGCACAGCAAATGCTTGCAGGGTGGCTACGACCCCTAGAAGCCAATCCTAGAAGGCAAGCTAGCAGAGACAAGTCCATGTGAAATAATCCTTGGTTTCCAAACCCTAGCAGCTCGCAGCTCGAACAAGAGGAGCCAAATTAACTGCACCCACCGGGGCAAAACCACAGAAGAGCACACACATGCAGCGGCAATGCCAGGTCTGTTCATGGGAATGACACTCACAACTGGCTGCCATCTCTTCTTCTCCTGCCACATTCCTAGTTAAAATTGCCAGTGAAAAGAACTTGAGACCGCCAGGGAACAATTTCTGATCGCCGCCAGTGTAATCATTCTGTAACATAGTCATGCAGGTCTCTTCCCCCCTTAGCCACACCCCCCTCTCCCTCTCTCTCTCTCTCTCTCTTCTTTAATGGGAGGCATGAGCCTATTGGGTAATAGTATCGTTTACACGCCAAAGACACACACAACCAAGCCCATCAATCAACTTGCCAACCACCATTTGAGACACATCTCATCTCGGAAATAGCTGACCGTTATTTACTGCGATGGTGAGACCTCTTAGCTGGCTTGCATTCCTTCTCATCGGAGAGAGAGAGAGAGAGAGGTCCGATGTTGTAATCAGGTTGCCTCGGAGAGGCGATTCATTACGGTGATGGTAAGAGGTCTTAGTGTTACGGTGATGTGTATATCCAACGCATGACATGGGGAGACATATCTGTGTAGACTCAGCTAAAAGGTGAAACCTACAACCAGGGTGAATCAGAATAGAATAGCTACTACATAAGCGTGCATGCATGGAGTTAAAGAGGAAGTCCCTTCTCTCTCTCTCTCTCTCTACGGTAAGAACCCTTGGTGTTACGGTGATGTATAACGAATGACACGGGGAGACATATCTGTGCAGCCTCAGCTAAAAGGTCAAACCTACCTCCAGGGTGAAGTAGAATAGAATAGCTACTGCTACATAAGCGTGCATGCATGGAGTCGAAGGGGAGGAAGTCTCTTCTCCCTCTCTCTCTCTCTCTCTCTCCGCCCCTCATCTGTGATAATACTAAATTGGAATTTGGAGGCTTGTGCTTGTTTGACATGGAGTGCAAGGGGCGCTCCCGCCATCGGGAAACGCAGAGGGGGGCGGCAACACCACCACCACACCTCTGTCGCCATGCAAAACACGGTGCACGGACGACCTCATTGAATTAACCTTTAAACCCAGATGGCAACGCAGTCAAACCCATGCATGCCACCACCATCTTCTGTTCGATCATTTGCTTGCTACCATCATTAACCAGAGGATGATTAATACGTTACTCCTTCTGTAGTTGCACCATCATGGAGAGAAGCCCTTCCCATTAGGTTTCAGGATAGCTCTGTAACTGCTTTAGCTGCATGAAATCATAGGGGAGGATAAAGAGTTGGTGAGGCTTCAGCCGTTAGCAATTCCCCTCCTTCTCACCTTATTATATGCTTTGCATGAATGGATCATTGAAGCTACCCTCATTCCTTCTATAAATACCCCCGCAAAACCCTTCCTCTCCCTCACACCACCGGGTTGCTTATGCGTTGATGTGAGAGAAAGGTTGGATACGAGGCGGAGATGGAAGACGGCAATGGCGGCCATCATCACCACAGGAAGTGCTCTGCCGCTGGCAGCAGCAGCAACAATGGCGGGAAGCGAGCGGCGGCTGCGGCGACGGCTGCGCCGGGGAAGGACGGCACGCGGTACCGCGGCGTCCGGCGTCGGCCGTGGGGGCGTTACGCGGCGGAGATCCGCGACCCGCAGTCGAAGGAGCGGCGATGGCTGGGCACCTTCGACACCGCCGAGCAGGCCGCCTGCGCGTACGACATCGCCGCCCGCGCGATGCGGGGGCTCAAGGCCCGCACCAACTTCCATTATCCCCCCACCACGGTCGTGCCGCCGCCTCCGGTGCCGGCTGCCGCGGCGGACCACTTGTTCCTGCATCCCTCGGAGTGGCCGTGGCCAGGCGTTCCCCACATGAACCAGTCTCCGCTCGTCCCCCATCATCAGCACTCTGCTTTCAGCCCTCTTCTCCTTCGGGACCTCATCCACCACTCTTCCTCTCCTTTGCACCACGATCCACCTGCCGCTTACCCTTCCTGCTCTTCTCTCTCCTGTTACGCTTCTGCTGCTGCCGCTGCAATCACCAATGCAACCACGAGTGGCATCGGTGGTCCTTTTGGCAATGGTTCCAATTACGACCCGATCGATGCGTCCTTTCCCGCTGCTTCTTCCTCGGACCTGTCCTCCCTACTGCTGCAGCAACAGCAGCACCCAATTTGCACCGGTTCATCACCAGCCGCAGCCGCTTCTTCCCTGCCCGAACTCCCCACCGAATTCGACGAAGACTGCGACTTCTTCCACACCGAGCCACCCGAATCCGGACTCCTCCAGGAGATCGTGAACGGCTTCTACCGACAGCGAGGCACTGACACGAACTGCTCACTGAAGGATAAGCGCAACCAACGGGATGGCGAGAACGCAGTGGATCATCATCTCGGTTATGAGATCCAGGTGCCTCTGAAGCAAGAGCAGAACACGTTCGATGCTGCGGATTGCTTTGATGAAGCTGGCAACTTCCCCATGATCCCTCAGGGACTCCTGGAGGACATCATCCAGTACCCGGACTTCTTCGAGATCTTGTCCGCCAAGCTACGCAAAGCTTAAGCCTGTCCTTCCCTCCATTTATTTCAGCTGAGTAGCTAAGCCTTGCAAGGAAGAGGAGTGTAGGGATCTCCTTCTCCTCCTGCAAACTGTATCTTGCTTTACTTGTAATCGTTTCTTAGGATCGAACCGAAGCTATCCGATCATTAGTCGCGTGCTATACATTCCGAGCCATGCATGGTGGTGCAAATCAACGTATGCCTGCACGTTGGTTCTTGTCATGTGCTCGTCATCACCCGCAAGCTTCATTTCATTCAATTAGGTCAACATTGAGCTCCAATGCGACTCTTGCTGTCCCAAAAGCGTGGGAAGAGAGAGAGAGAGAGAGAGAGAGAGAGAGAGAGATCACATTGCAGGCGGAGTTAATCCAAGATAATAACGTCTCCATCATTTGCTCCAAGAAAGTTGCAGTAGCATGATTATGTTTGAGTGTTAGCCACGAGATCACAGTCTCTGCATTAATCATAGGAAACGGATTAAAGCTGAAATGGTTTGTTTGATTACGATGCAGTGGTAACGTAAGTGGCTCGTTCTTCTTCGTTGGTTGGGTTTGCATTCAATAGAACAGGTAGCTGTCATCTCCGCAGCCACAGATAACATAATTTCATGGCGACAATGCAGTGATGGAAAGTACGGCAAGAGTTAATTGGTAATTAATGGGATGGAATATCTGAGTTTGACATTAGCAGATCAGAATGTCCGTCCTGATGTGTTTTGCTAGTAATAGTGTTTTCTTTAACCTTTTTTTGCCATTGTTATTGAAGGCGATGCAGGGTTTGTCTGACCCAGTTTTCTCATGCAAACAGAAGAAGAAGAAGAAAGATCATAGTCCACACTTCTTTGTTTGATGATCCAAACTGGGAGAGAGAAAAATAAACTTGAAGGATAAAGAAAGAATTGGAAACACAAGATCTTTTACTTTGATACAATAACGAAATTAAATCTCAATACCACTTAATTGTGTTATGATGTAAATCTATAATCATTATCCCTATAAGCAGACAGGTTAATTCCAGGACTATAATCACTATCATTCAGAGGAGAGGATGAATCATGGGAGCATTCGTGACCTGAAGTTTTGATTAGGTCATGCAGATATATTATTTTATGTCATATTGATTCGTTCTATGATCATACCTGAATCATCCATTGATAAGAACATAATCTATGATCATACTGAAGCAACAACATTCTCTCTAAGATCCCGTAAAATAAAATTAATGATTTGACATGATTTCACACGAAACTAGACTAACCCTAAACTCCAAACAAGAAGCAACTTATCATGATCCCACTGCTCTCTCTCTGATGTATTTGTGATCATATAATTACCTAAATCATGATTATATAGCTTATCATGATACTGGAGCCAATCTAACGTGAGATGTAAAAGAGTCGTAGAGGTTCTGAGTGCTGAAACATGTGTTGCACATCACCAGAATTCAAACACCGGCTGCGCTCCCAAGTGCCTCCGAAGACGTCATTTCAGACACAGAACCACCAGCGTCTAACTTTGACTTGAAGTGCAGCCATGGCCATGCACCGTGCGTCCTGGAACCAGCGAGGCAGGGAGGGAAACAACAGAGAAGGGAGGAGTCACCAGCTCCACAGTCGACATTGCAGATTCACGTGCACGCTTGGCCTTCCCAGTTTGCAAAGGCGAGGGAGCGAGCGAGCGGCGGCGGACCGTAAACTTGCAGAAAAAAGCTCCGGGCTGCCGCCACAGGCACCCATTTATTGGCAGTAGTACACGCTGCACACATGCATTGCGTTGCATCCGTGGGAACAAAAGACTTTGAGATGAAAGGCAACCTGCACCTGCTGTTCTCTCTCTATTGGCTTTCGTTGCGTCTTCGTCTGTGACCCACAAGCTGATGGTACGAATGAGGAGGGCAACAATGACTGAAGTGAAATGCCATCAAGATAGATGCACGTCCCATCAATCATGCATGGGAGGAACGAGGGTGGAATACACCCTGGAGGATTCTATACGGCAGCATGGGGATCTCTCGGTGTGGATCCGAAGGATTGATGAGATTTGACCCTCGAATACCCCATGTTTCCTTTTGCAGGCCGGTCTTGCAGTCTCACTGACACTTTTTTATTTTTGTTGTTGTTGTTCTAATCATTCATGTGTGATGGATTGATTTTTCCACCTCTTAGTGAACTTTTTTGGGCTGCATTTTGTTCGGGGAAAATATATGGCTATTAGTTTAATTGATTCGTCAAGCGTTTTCAGAAAAGATCAAAATAATTCGGTAAATGTGTTTGATTTGAATGATAGTAATAAAAAAAGTATGTTTATAAACAATTATGCTCACAAAGTATTGAGATTCCATATGCACCTTTAAATTCTCATTAACATCCTGAGGCAATATATATATATAATACCTAAACAACCTTAATTTACTCGTTATGATAATACTCTGAGGTCTTACAGGATACGAATACCAATTGCCTGCAAGGGATAGAACAATAAACATTAATGAATTGGAAGAACAAATGATGACTAAATAATGATGATGTATTTACAAAAATTCGCCACGAATCATCTAAAAAATGCTAGAGAACATTAAATGGCTCTCGATCTAAAAAACAATGTTTGAACAAGATTTTATAATAACACAACAAGAATATTCAAACCATAATGTAAGCTAGTTATTAAGAAATTCCACATAATTTTATACATCATCAGAAACAATTGAATTTTGTCGCATTGAATACCATTAGAACATTGATAAGAGTGGAATTTCCTTTTGACTAAACCCAAACTTCACTTTTGCTTAAATGTCACAAACAATGATAAGCCAAGATAGAAATCGATACTATGAGTCTTGTGTGCGTCCTGTGTTTCTCTTTCATTATATACAATTTCAAAACATGGTGATCATGAGATTACAAGAATCTGCAGCGACTCGAGCATCAGAAGGAGAGACGCTCGCTGTTGAATCTAGTATCGGTCCAGCCAACTCATTGAGCTTTCTTGTGAGCCAAATTGCAAGTCCTGCAATCCAGGAAAGATATGAGAACACACCCTCTTTAAAGATTTATATAAACAACGGCTAGTGAATCTTACAGAAAGCTGGAAGTCTGGTGGTGTATCGATTAGTATGTTGTCGAGATCTGAGAATTCGCAGGCTGTACTGTCGATCGCAGAAGCTGGCACATTCCTGCCGCAGTTGAGATTTGTGCCGTTTACATGCAATGATGAGTCCTCAAAATGAGGAAAAGAATCCAGGACCTCATGGCACAACAATGACTCCTGCAAATTGATTGGGTCTGGCTCATCAACAGCTTGAGATTCGCCCGCCCAGCGTGCAGGGGTTTCAACTTCGCCCGTCCACGGACTGATAGATAACGGCAAAAGAGGAACCCCTGAATTGGGACAGTGTTCCTCCTGAAAGCCCAATATGGATAATCAGAAGAAATATTGAATTTTCACGAAAACATGTCTGCCATTGAGCATCTAAAAATTCCATCAATGTCCAAGGGAGTTTTAAGAGCTTAGGATGTTCAAAAGATATCTGAGCACTATGACACCAAATGCAGGGCACTTGGAGTAAATAAAAAAGTTAAAATGTTCATCATTTTCATCTAAATGGTGAAAATTCAAGGATCAAAAGCCAAGTCAAGATTGTCAAAATCTGATAATAAGACTCTCAAATAAGAAAAAGGTAAAGTCTACTTTGAGCCAATGACAATTTCATTACCTGGCCTAGCAAGAGTGGCAGACTATGTCCATTGACCTCATGTGGAGAGCCCTTTTTCTGTCGGGGTGGCTGTGGTGTATTTGTGTTTGGGGTTCTTGGACCAATTTTAACAGTGAAAACGTTGCTTTCCTCGTTGAAAGGGTCTGCTTCAATCTTATCAAGACGACTTGTTGAGTGTTGGTAGAAAATTTTTGAAACCACTAATTCACCTTTTTTTTCATCTTCTTCGGTGCCAAGATGGTACTGATGCATCACCCAATTAGCTTTGTCTGGTCTGGAGCCTCGTTTTGAACTTCTATAGAGAACCATTATTTTCTTCCAACCATTCTCAAGAACACGTTTGGTTTTACCTGTTTTGTGCCACCTTACACACTCTTCTGAGAAAGCATGCTGGTTTATCTTCCGTCGCTTGCGCTGGCCTGTACCGTAAGCATTTGATATTCTGTGGAAGAAATGAATACTGCTTCCATCTTTCTTGGCACCTGATGCATAAAAAAAATTAGTAGCTAAAACTTCAAAATCATACAGTTGAATGAATAAAATATTACCAGGTAGATTCTCTGGATGAGTGTAGCAAATTCCCTCATCCTCATCCAGCGTTGGAATAAACTCATCGATGAGCATGTGCAGCTTTGAATTCTCTAGACCAATCTTTCCTGCTAGATGTTCCAATAGTTCAACATCAGATGGATCAAACCTAACACCAGCAGGAAGTCCAGGCCAAACCGAGGTAACCTGCATAGAGAGACAAAAATATTCAAAAATCAACGCCCAAAAGAGGTCAAAAGTAGGGGGTTTAAATACAGACATCAAGAATGCCTGATGATCCTGTAAAACAAGCAAGTTTTGGCAATATTCACACAGTGATTTTAAGTTATTCTTGAAGTTTTTATCAACAATAAATTAGGGATATGTTAAGACCACTTGAAAGTAAATTAACAAAAATCGATAAAAAAAACAACGGGGCATATGCAACATAGAAAGTATTTCAGTGTATTTCACCCACGTAGAAACATGAAGTATTTCTGGAAATGCAGACAAAGAAAATCGAATGGCCAAAATAACTTAACTACTAACTCCAGCAGTTCTGGAAAGCAACTAATGGATTTTCAAACTGTTTACATATAGTTGTTGATTAGATGGGTCAATTTTTGGGACAGTAAATCTTTAGAAATAGTTATTGACCATTAATGTGACTATTGGGTATAAATAAAATATTAATACTCAATTTTTTATAGGGACCAAAAAATCAATATTTGTTTTTTTGCTTCTTTATCTTCAAATACAAGATTCACCTTACTATTCCAAACCGATATATTGGCTTACCGGTGGTACAATATGTACTGCCTCATACCAGTATATTGTGTGTCAGTATGTTGGGACGTGCTGACAACATAGGAAAATGACAAAAAATAACTTCAAAATTTTCTGAAAAATAAAAAAATAAATTAGGATTTTAGGTTGAAAATAAATATAAATTTAGTATCAATTGAACAAAAAAATCTAAATTAGGAAAAAATAATGATATATTTTTTCGGGCTTGAAGGAGAAACTTTGGGGTACATTTCAGACTATCCTTTTGTTGATATTAAATTATCTATAATGAAATGATTGAATTTTTAGATTATGTATTAAACAATTTAAATTTTAAAATTTAAATGAATCAAATAATCGATCAATAGATATACCTAGTTCTACCACTAAAAAGAATGATAGAACCCCATGGGCGATAGATCGAGGTCATCAATCCTATGTATATGCATATCAATTTGATATTTTTTTGGACCCAATTCTGAAATTGATCCCACGATATAATATATTAATGCATCATATGTCATTGGTGCATCAATGTGATGATTGTCATAATCTAATCGTCATGAATCATACATATCCAAGACGATTCCTAAGGGAAGTACAATTGTGGCATGTATTGGTGAGGAGATTGGAGAATGTTGAAACTTCTATTTTTACCACCATACAACTGCTTGGAGAAGAATGACCAATAATTATCGTACTACTGTTGGCCGTAAGGTCCTCCATAATACAAAAATTAGGAAGATGATGAGCTCCAATCATATATGAATTTGAGAGAATGAAAGGGCGTGAAAGAGGGGGAGGAAAAAGTTTAAAAACCCTTTCAAATAGATCTAACCATTGGAACTGGTCAGATATGAGCCATCTGTTAATAATGATCAGATTTTGACCATTCCGGCTGGTACAGACCGTATATATCGATCCCCTGTTTGATCGATACGTACCACCCATACTGAGTAATATACCACGACACGACAAATCCTGCTTAAATATATTGCAAAGTCTTAACAATAAAAATATATTCTTAAATATATTGCTTAACATATTTTAAAAAATAGAAAATCTCTTTCTAAAGAGGCATTTCATAACACTAGGAACAAAAGAAAGAATCTAATACATCAACAAGAAAATTAGTTCAATCAAATTGATCAAATATGTTAAAAGATTAAAAACCTTAGATGAATAAAATGTAATGAATACAAATTGCCAAAAACAGAATTATATAACAAAGAGTATAAATGGTGATGGTGGACAGATGAGAACTCACATCGCTATTATCAATAAGATGCTTGCAATTAGGGCACTCTCGATTTGCTCCTACCCCTAAATCTTTGATTTGATCGTTATCAAAGCAGTTGGCATTCTTTACTTTCCTCGCAATCCCCCTACCAGTGATAAGCCATGTCCTATAAAATATAAAGAAAGATTAAAAAAAACTACTTACAGTGGATACATACATATGTCTAACACATGAGGCAATCGTTTAGTAATTCGAGTATAAGCAAGCATTATAAACATAGTGAAGACAAGTTAGTTCACAATTCGGTATAAAGCATACACACAAAGCACTAGTTTCAACATGTAAACCTAAAAACACATAGTTTGCTCATTTCAAACTTTCAACATGTAATTAAGATTGAGATGGTTACTTGAAATAGACAATATTAACCCCCTATGTCTCACAAAAGCAGGGGCCAATAATGGAGAGATTGAGGAAGACAGAACTGTAAGTCTAGGGCTTATATATCTGTTAGACCCTATCTACTACAAATAGGACACCAAAGAATAATCGAAGGACAAATAGGAAGTTCAGCCTGACAAAAACTAAAAAGCTACATTGAAATTGTTGGTAAGCCTCTCTTCAACGAGTATGGCAATTGTATTCTACTTCATAGTTTCTTTAAGAATTGATTTTGCTGGTTTTCTTTTTTGTTATCAGTTCAATGCAACACTTATGCCACAAGATATTATTTAGCTCAACCAAGATAAAGACCAATAGTCATGTCTTTCTCCACAAAGCCTAACCTCTAGTTCGTAATTAATCTTGTCAGAATTAGACTAATGACAGTGAGAAGAATAAGCATAGCTTGATTTGGCTATCAGCTGAAAATAGAGTGGTATTTCAGAGGCCCAATGTATAGGGAAATGGAATTACTATTCCACAACACATTGAAAATCCTGTACTTATTGAAGTTATTGGATTTGATCCTATACGAATTTCTTTGGTTGGAATCTCTGTGATGCAAAACAAGTTTTTCCCAGGACTTAGTTGACTCTATCAGAGTCCAAAACTGAGTCCAGTGTTGCTTTCCATTTCCTGCCATTATTTCTGTGGTTGCCTTATGATGCTTCTGGAATCTTACTTTAGATCATTTTGATGTTGAAGGATCAAATCTTAAGTATAAATTCCCATAGAAAAGTTATGAAGCAATCACGACTAGATCTTAGAAAGTTCAAAAGGTCTATTTACATATGATTTAGATGGATTACCTTTTTTTTTTTTAAGAGAAAGGCTTGTCTTTGGCTGGCTTAGTTAGGATTTAGGTCCCAAAGAATGCTAAAATAAAAAAAGGCACATAATTGATTGTAATTGGTGTTCATTTGATGAATCAAATCAAGTTCTGTTTACCATATGACCCTGTATATGCCTTATCCCTAATCCATTTACCATATGCACATAATCGTTCTTTCCCCTTTCTTACCTCAAAAGATTCTTTTTCTTCTTTTGAAACACTTCAATTTTGCAATACTAGAAACAGTGCCCAGATCTTTCAAGCATTAGAATGACTTTTCTCTACCCATAAATTCTATTCATTGACTTGTCACACTCACTTCTAGCAATCTAAATCAAAGTTATGAATGTCAATATGCCACATTCTTCTCATACATATGAATTTGCCATTCACTCAAATCATCGTTTCCATGTTCAGCTCCTCAATTCGGTAAAGAGACCTCGAGAAAGGGAAGCTAAAGCAAACCCCAACCGGCTCCAATGCTAGAGCTATAATTTCTTGCAGCTCCATTGTTATGTAAAGAAAAGGGCGGATGAGATTCCTGCTAATACGGGATAAGGAGAAGCTCAATGTACACAATCTTACCTCTATGTTTACAGATAGACTATCTCCCATGCGCGAAACCTGGTATCCAAGGTTGCAAAGGACAAAAAAACAGAACAACCAAGAACATTAACAGGCACAACCAATGAACCACTACACCAATGCAAAATCATTCAGCGAACCACCAACGAAATCCATTGAAAGTCCGGACTTTCTTCAATCGGTGCCCCAAATGGACAAAATGCACAAAGCCTCCTACACAATAAATGAATCCCCTAAGCCGTATCCTACTTAAATCAACAGAAGCGTCTCCTTTTAACACCACTAATAACGAAAAATGATGAGGCTCGAAAAGCCCCAATCATCAACGTAGCAGCCACGCAGCAATTACACATCGATGAGCAAGAATTGAGCTAAGCATGCACTTTCTAACAACAGCAGAAGAATCTAGTCTTGCAAGATGATGATGTCAAACGCACCTTGCCATCCCAAGTTCTTGATATCTATCAGCTGAGACTGAGACTGCGCTACTTAGAAATGGGGAGAAGGAAGCGAGGAGGCGTCGGTCGTCGCCATTCTTCGTTCCGGCGGGAAAAACACCCCCGAGACTGTGGCTTGAGCCACCGAGCCTAGTGGTTCGGACGTTCACGCGCGGTGACGATTACCCGTTCATCATCTACTCTGTGATATTCCTTCCATGCGAATGGTTGAATAAGTGGGTCCAAGCGGGACCCACATATACGACCAATCTTTGGACCACCTAGAATTCAGGTAGACAGAAGGGTATGATATACAAATGCTTATGCGTTAAGTAGGGTGGTAGATGTGTTGAGAAAGAAGGTCGCTTTGGATTCTTGGTTCCGAAGCTAAGTGGTATTTCTTACTATTCTTTTTATTCTTTTTCTAATATTTGTTTTGGTCTTAGTGTTAAAACATTGGTCGCGAATTTGTCGACGTGGGGTGTTACGAACTGTAAGATTGGAGTTGATACGTCATAAAATGTCAGGAAGACTGAGACGGTCTCTGGCTCGATGAGTCTGAAGTTTATGCGGAGATGAGCACATCGAAATATGGGGATGAGAACGAATGGGAGAAATAAAACGTAACAGGGATCATTTAACAGATTATAGATATGGACAATTATAAATTATATGATGTAGTTACATAAAAAAATGAAGCTAATTATATATTATCTTATGTAATTATATGTATTTAGCATTACGATCTTTAAACTTTAAAAATTTATATAAAATTATTATAGTAATAAAAATAAAATATTTAATTTTATTTATCTTAACATTGTCGGTTTTACCGATAGAAACATAAAAATAATAAGCAAAAAAATAAATTTAATATCTCAATTACGCTTTCGATGATGATGGATAATAACATCATTGGAGGCCACATATGGTTATTGTAGATGAGGGAGAGAGACAATGAAAGATAAGACAAAGGGAGATGAGGAAGAAGATGATGTATATGACAATGTTCGATATCTGTGTCGGTGCTACATAAATACAGAACGACGTCACTCTACAACTACGTTAGTATCGACAATAATACAAAGAAATGTAGCACCATTTTGCATCTACATCGATATTAATAATAATACGGGAAAGAATGATGATGCGTTGCATCTGCATTGACATCAATATAAATGTTGAGCGACTCTTTTATTACTCTACGTCTACATCATCCTTTTTCTTCTATCTCTTTATCTCATATCACATCATCACTCTTTCTCCTTAGTCACTCATGATCCTAATGACTTCGTACTATCAAAAGCATAATTGGAACATTAACATTATTTTTTTAATTTTTTTAATTTTTTTATTGATAAAATTAATAATATTATGAAAAATAGAGTTAGATGTTTACTTTTATAATTATAAAAATTTTGATGTAAATTTTTTTACGTCTAAGATCGAGATTCTCATGTTTTTAGCGCTAAAAACTTTGTGAGTAGATGAAAGAACGAAGCAGTCGATCAGCTTTGTGTAATATGGTAAGCAGGAAACGAAGAAGCCGTCACAATTTGAACACCATACTATCATCGTTCGTCTCTCGTAACTTTCTGCACGTCGAGGTCATGTCTCTTGGCGGAGGAAGAAGACCTGTGGATGAGGTTCCTCAGGCTGTTCTTGCTCTCTCTGGATCGCTTGTCGGGCCGGCCGTACTCGGGCGGGCTCCGCCAGGGGGGGACGTCGTCCAACGCGACGTTGGCCTCCAGCTTCTTCGACAGGGTCACGATCTCGTAGGAGTCCCATAGGGAGTGCGCGAAGTCCCAGTGGGACTCGGCGGCCCTGGCGGCCATGGCCACCGCCTCGAGCTTGAACCGGGTGGGCTGCCGGAGGGAGGAGCTGGCTCTCCGGGCGTGGAACTCGTCGGTCGGCTTGGGGTTGCCGGACTGCGCGTGCCACGCCTGCGCCACCGCCTTGAGGAGCTCCAGCTCCTGCTCGTCCACATGCCGCCGTCGCTGCTGCTGCTCCGGCTTTGTCATGGCTACTGCAGCGGTGAAGAAGGGTCGCATGTTTCTCTGAGAGGAAGATAAGGTTTTGCCGCTTGGTTGACTTGTAATGTTGATTTTGGACGGTGGAGATGGAATTTCCAAATCAAGTGGTCGAACGAGATGTATCGCTTGTTAATTCGACATAAAAATTATGTCAAGAAGTGTCTTATTAATTGTATCTTTTTATTGTAAGATGCTATTTTAGGACAGTCATATTTCAAAATTCATAAAACCCTTATTTTTGGGCTGATCAATACATTCAAAAATTATAATGAATGAGATTTCGATGGACCAATCATTAATAAGTGGACATAATAAATCGCTGCCTTTGGTACCTTAAAATGTTCTTGCAAATCCAATTGCTAATGACATAGTCAAAACTTTAATAATTATATAGTCAATACGCTAAAGCTATGTGGTCGACATTTTAGTGGACACCTGGCAATATCTTAGCGTATCGTAGCCAATACTTCGATGCTATGCGATCAACATCTTAGTACTATATGATCGTCAAATCGACACAACGTGATTAATATCTTGACACTACATAGTCAATACCTTGATATTAAATCGTTACTTTGGCATCATATAATTGATAGTGATCGATACATTAATACTATATGGTTGACACATCAGTGACCAACATTTCAACTACATGTGGTTGACATAGTCTTATTCACAAGATGTTACTAACAGCATCACAACACCTACGTATTCGACATAGCACGATTTTATTAGGATCAAAATATATGCGTAATCGTCCCTTATATCAATGTGTGCCTATAAGTATAACAGCCCAAAAATAATACTATAAAAGCCATCTCAAGTACACATAACAAACAAATTCATATCCTCTCTAACTCTCGTCGTTCTACGAACATCTCATTGGTTTAGATTGACCTAAACATTAAAGAGATTTTATCGAATATATTCTCGATATAATAATTTTACAGGATTTGACATCTAAATAGTTTCATTTTGTCATAACAAATATCGAATTTGTTAGTATTCTAAAATAGGATTTGGAAAACTCATCCATCCGATGTGCTCTATCACAATCATGGAAGTAAGTAGGTTGATGATAACTTGCATGACATCTGCTTCCCAAAACATAGAAGTATTATCACATCTTGTATGAGTCGTCACTTCACGAGTGCCGATTTCAACCCCTTCATGATGATAATAATTACGATGAAAACATATTTAGGAAATAGAAAAAAGAAACAAATAAAATAAATAATAAAGCGAAAAATGAACCGTAGAATCATCTACCCCTTTCAAAACCAGGCCTGGGCCCACATACAGGGGGTTTGGCGGGCCTTGACGGCCCAGTGGTTGGGGTGACCCAGGTAAAAGCGATGGGTATAAAAGCCGGGTGAGCCGGGAGGGGACGTCGACGGGAGGAGTCGTCCTTACTCAATGAAGACAATACGAGTCAGCCTGACACGAAGGACGGAGGCCAGCTCAGAACGCCAGCTGTCCGACACAACATTACAGGCCAAGTACACATGCAACCCCAAGAACTACTCGAACATAAGAACAATGAGTCAAACTAGAGATTTATTGTGTACGAGAATCTTTGCAATTAGAAAAAATGGGAAGGAACCATCTAAACATATAATTTTTTTTTAAATCAAGATCTATGTTAAAAAAAATTAATAATCTTATGTAGAAACTTACTATAATTTTTTTTAAGAATAAGCTGTTATGTCAAATTTTAAAATTAAAAATTTACGATCAAAATCTTTACTAATTAAATTAATTAACACATTTAAAAATAATTTAATATAAAAAACTCGATCGATCGAAAAATGACATCATGCTAAGTAAACCTACTATATCAATATGATATTTAAAATAAAATATTCTTCGTTGATATATTTATTTTTTTTTATGATTATTGAGGCCACATCATCATCTATAGAATAAATCATCAAATATTTTAATTTTATTTAATTTTTTTTATTTCTTGAATAAGATAAATATTAATTTTGACATCGAAAAGATATAGATCCTTAGCACAAGTCTTATGAGAGATATCTTAGAGTCGTTCTAACTTATCGATAAAATGTGAATCACATTTAAGCTTTAAATATGATAAAATTTGAGGGAAAATCAAATGAAGTCAAGTCAACCTCATCATAACAATTTGATGATCAAAATTTATCTTAATAATCTTAATCATAATTCTCATATTATTATTAAGAAGTTTGTTAAAAAGAGATTAGATACTTCCAATCTCATATTATCATGTTTCGTAAGTTGAATGATTAATTGAGGGTGTCTTTAGCATGTATTAAATTTCAAGAAATAAGTCAAGAATAATCTCTCAAACGCCACCACATTTTTTATTTAATTCTTTTTTAATCATTGTTTGCTTCTTTTATTCTATGCATATTTTTACTGAAAATGATGGATGCAAGAATTGGGTCGGACAATCATTGAACCAAACCGACCCTTCTTCCTTCCTTCTTTAATGGGTATGAAAATGTCAGACTTTGTTGAGTGAATTTAATGCTTGTGGCAAGTGAGGTAATCACAGTAGTTTAAATTATTGGCTATATATCGGCATCTATCCTATATCTAAAACAATCTCTAAAAACTTATATTTTGATTTATTTATTTACTTTGATGGAATCTATCCTATGAAATTTTTTAGTGTCAAACGTGTCTCAATCTATTTGGGTCGCTTCATAGATTAAACCATTAATGTCATATCCCATTTTTTTAAAAAAACTAAATCATCATATTATTATTTAATTTACAGAAGACCCTTTTTTTCTTTACATTTAAAAATTTATTCTTATAATATTAAATATTTTTATTTAAAAAAATCATGTATTATTTAGTAAGGTCATAAGTTACGAAAAATTTTCTGAGCTTACACTTTATATCTATTACAAAATAGTAGATTATTATAAAAACAAACACAACATCGATCATATATATTAGCAGGAATCTTTATAAAATTATAAAAAATAATTTTTAATCCTCGTAATATATATATATATATATAAATCAATAATTTAATATAAAATAATAATAATATATCAATTTATTAAGAAAAGTATATATTAAAAATAATGATAATCCTTATATAGTAAATAAAATTATGCATCAATCATATGCAATACATCTTAATGACATACATAACAATATGATAATAAAGATAAAAATAATAATAATATATCAATTTATTAAGGAAATTATATATTAAAAATAATAATAATTCTTATGCAATAAATAAAATTATGCATCAGTCACATACAATACATCTCGATGACATATATAACAATATGATAATAAAGACGTCTATCATACCTAATATTGTACTCTCAATAGTAGATGGTGATGTATACTATATATGATGAATTTCTCCCAATAATGGATTAAGAGAATCCATACCATACTTCTAACAACAGATAAAGTGATATTCTTCACATGTCTAAATAGGGACACGTTACTCGTAATAATGGATGAGGAAACTATTTAACCATAACATTTAACAGTTCGCTAATCCTAAAAAAAAAATTATCCCACCTACTCTGATACATAAACAATAATGATCATTTATTTATATTGATCTATTCATGTATTCAAGAAGTAATATGATAAAACATTACGAGAGATTGCTTAATGTATAATTTACTATACTATATTCATTTGTGGCTCCATATTATAATGAGCCCATAGCTCCTTTTATAGCTTGTAATTCCAATATTAATCACTCAACATAATCAATCAAGACATAACAACGGTAACCTTATATCCATAAAGAATCGATTCAAGATCATCCAGATCAACAGTAACCTCATATCCATAAGAATAAATTCAATTAGTCTAATTTAAATTTGATTGATTTTATTTAAGTCAAATGACCTTAAATCAATGAAGTTAGTATTGAATAACTATTAATCACTTGAACTAATCAAATATGTTTAATTCAATTAACTAAATAAGTTCAAACCAATAAGTTGAGAGAGAATTAGACCATACTGCATAATGGTAGTTCAGACTAAGTTAACCTACCCGAGCCTTAAGATAGATTATATGCATTCCACATGCCTGTTCCAAGTAATAGATGGACTAAAATACAACACGTTAGGATAAAGAGGTAATGATATATCTAATGTCGATTATATAATTGGGTAAGCTTAGCTTTATAGGATCGGATGAGTCTTATTACTAAATTGGATTACTATTGGTTGTGGATGAGTCATATAAGTTATGCTATACCTAACCTTATGTGATACACTATACTTGGCTATGTGGGTTGGATCATGGTTAACTAGATAGGCTTGATTATACTTGGTCATATGGGTCGGGTTATACTTGATCATAAGGACTAAACTATGTCTAATCACATGGGCTGAATCATATATGACTATATAGATTGTGATATGCCCGACCACATGGGTTGGGGGTACTTTACTACATGAGCTAGTCTGACCAATCAATATAATTAAGTCAGACAATAATTTGACATCCCTTATTAAATTATATTGTAATATTTTAAAAAATATTTAAAATATTATAAAATAACAATTAATCTCAAATCTATTTTTTTTAATGAAATAACTAATTTAAATTCATGATACAAATTTAAATCTAATTAAATTATAAAAATTTACACATAATTATTTGAAACATAAATATGTATAATTAAATGAATTAGAATTAACATTAAATTAATACATTATTTTAATATCATATTTTAATTATAATTTTTTACTTCATAAAATTTTAAAATTTAATTATTATTATACATAATAAAACTTATAAAAATTATAATAAAAAATTAAAATACGAAGAAAAACTACTCGTGGAGGATCCTCTCTTCATTCCTCCTAAAGCTCGGTGAGAAGTTACTAAAGATAAAATTAAGGGGGAGCCCTTCGAGAAGATGGGCTCTTCTCGAAAAGTAAGGAATAATTTTATATTTATTTTATTTTCATATAAAGATAAAATTATAGTATTTATTTTATATGTTTCACACCCAAAAATAAAATTTTAACCATTTATTTTCTAAAATATATATCACTAATTAGGAAATAAATTAATTGATAAAATTCTTAACTTATTCAAATGATTATAGAAATTAATTTTAATTATTTTCCTAACCATACTACATAAGGAAGTTAATAAATAAAATAAAATAAAATAAAATATTATTTATGAT